GTACTGATCGTCGGTTGGTATTACCAACACATCTTCCATTGGTAATACACTCTGGGCAATAGGCCTGTGTACTGACTGTGGCGTGTGTATTATCCACCATGCAATGCAAGCTTAACCTGGAAGTTGGTATGTGTGAGTTTAAAGCTGTAATGTTATATTTAATTACAGTTTCGTACTGAACACATTATACACGCATAAGCCGATGGGTCAGCGAATTTTAATTTCCAACAGAAACAAGCAGAAAGTCACTCATAATTCAAGACGGGCAAACAAATGAAACAGCCCTCAGTATATGATCTTATTCCTCTAGACTAGCATTTACCGTCTCAACCATGTAGCTACCAATATGTAGCAGTAACAGTCAAAAGTTGCGAACCACAGAATACAGCACAGACACTTTGTTGTTGCTCTCGGTGTACCGCAATGAAAGTCTCTATTCCTCTAAGGGCTTATCTGGACCTAATCTGCCGAATTGTTGTGACTTGATTTGACGCTTGTTTCAGCTATCAAAGGCCTTACGCTGTCAAACGCCTTTTCATTCTGCGATCAAAGGGAATTTGCCCTTTCAACAGAAGTAATTTTCGTCTCTGTGGTTTTGAACCCAGGGGAACCATGCTCATTTCTGATCATTTCAAAGAAAAACGAGTCTGACTCGTTAGCTGTTCGCTGTTGAAAGTGATGAACACACTCCCTTCGTAACTACTCGCGGAGATGAAAATCGATTAATTGTGCTCCCCCCCCGCCTTATTTCCCTATGGACAAAATTGTGCCCCCCCCCCCATCCATCTATTTTTCCCTACCAAGGTAGCCTAGCTTGTTTTGGATTCAGTGCAAGCCAAGGTCAGCGAAAGACATCGTCGTAATAGAAACGCGTTTAAACACATGTACACGAAATGTATACAAATACACGGGGGGTGTTATACAGAAATTATACTCACTGGGCTAATGTTAACGAAACTAAATTTTATACGAGGTTCCGGAGTTAAGAAAAATGGTTTCCAAAATTCATTCCCAGCCATTCGAATCAAAGGTCGAGTTCCATATATCACAGATGACCTCCAGATTTTCTCCCAAAGCCATTAATACAAACACTTTATTACTATGCATAGAAAAATGCACGGTACATCTGTAAAACACGGCATGTGAAATGTACCGCGTCCAAAACAACACGTACTACTGAGTGGTTGATATTGAAGGAAGGAGGAATAATATTACACTTAGCCTACTTATGTCAATGTTTTGTGTAACAAATGACATGGAGAGGACCTTAGAGAAATATGGCTTACTGTGATAAGATTTTGTCATATTTTGACGGAAAATGGAAAGGAATGAGAAATGGAAAGCATGTGATATGAGTTAATGTGTGGCAATCCACCGTGGCTAATGGACGTACACTCCTCTGGCCAATGGATACTGCCTGCCTTGTATATGATCTGCTTGGAGACTAGACATATCGGACAGTTCACATGCGTATATATGTTTTTCCCGAGAATGAACCTACCCGATAGAATTGACCTTACTAGTCTCTGGAAAGTTTGCTTGAAATGAAATAAATCAAAACAAAAACAACACAAAATAAAACATATATGACACTAATTTTTCTGTCTGGGGGTTCAACTGAACGACCCAACAACATTATTTCCGTAGTGATTTTGAAATTTATGGTCAAGTAGAGGGTCCTGTCGTTAGTTTCAATGTGACGGTCAAATGTAGGCTTTTGTGAGTGGAAGCATACATGTACATTTCTTTTGTTGACAAGTCGACCAGACAGCAATGCTAATCCTATATACGTCATAACAGCACACAGAGTACAAAGGACGAAGTGAAAAATAGCTTGTTTTGACTGGGAGCAACCCTCTCCTTTGTTGAGAAGTTAACAAGGTAAAAATGCTAGCGATATTTGTCATTCAAAACACAAAAGACTGAGTGACAATTGTAAATAGATGTCGGCTTCCGTTGAACTGTACTGAATGTATAGAATACTTTCCCAGCCAAGTAGGCTCTAGTGCGTATGCATAATGTCCACGCTATCTGTCACAATATATCATGAATACAATATGAGGAGCATCGGACCGTTACGTTACGATGACTGGCTTTTTTTATTCGTGGTAATTTTCCAATCGTTTGTCCTGACCAAGTGAACCGTACGTTTCGGGTGATGCGTTTGTTTACACTGACAACGTAATGTTATCGCTATTGATGCCTCTACTCATGCCAAACTGTAAATTCAACAATTAACAATACTAGCCTCCTGTACAGACTTCTAGCTGGGCACATGGTTACTAGCCTCCTATGCAGGCCTCCGGGCGGGTGGGAGTTTTGATACTGCGTTTTGTAGAATTTTTAACGCGTTCTTTTGTCGACCATCATACAACCAGCCGCACAGAGAAGGTTTGTATCCGCTACATGTTGTAGGATGACCGACAAAAGAACGCGTTCTACAAAACGCAGTATCAAAACTCCTACCCGCCCGGAGGCCTGCACAGGAGGCTAGCCTATTTGATACTATCTTTGCAGCCACCAAAAAGTCTGCTTCGAGATAAGGTCAACAATGGCAAGCGGCCACGCCGTCCTCACGTGCCCCGATGTGGGGTGGGGTCGCCCGAGGTGAGACAATTAAACCGTCCCCCACGCGAGGAGGATTTGATAACGCACCTGACCTCGGACGGTCATGAATGGGGCTGGGGTGTCTGAAAACTGTCATAGACAAAAGCAGGACAAATACTAGTAAATGAGATTGGAAGCGTTGAACACTCCAAGCAGATTTTTTTACGTCTTACTTAAGAAAACCCTACTACTACCCGTACTTATTTCATATTCATAGTTTTATCTGGAATCGGTCATCAAAAAAACTAGGACCGATTGAGATAAAGAAATGGATGGATGTTAGGTGAGAATATTGGTGATGCAGTCATCACATGACCGACCAGTTCGCTTGTCGTGCGTTTTTGTCCTTGAATTATCTACAACCATAGCATTGTTACATTGTATTCCTTCGTTATAGATACAACGCTCTATGACACGCAAACCACTCAACACAATAGAGAAATAGAAACACAGAGAAACTCATACCTACTTCATGTATGTGTTATTGGTGTATTTGTACATTAACGTTATATACTAAAATCATATCCTCATAACCTTCATAAAAACGGCCTATAGGCCGATATCATAAATTCCTCATGAATGAATATGGCAACAACAAAGCTATTTGTTTTACTACATTGAGTTCCCCTTTGTTACCCCGTGCCTTTGTGTGTCCCTATTAAGGTGACGGGCTTCATTAATACTTGATGAACCCCTGTGACTGAGATAGTAATTTAGTACCGTTAGCTAGCTGAGGTGAAGCGGGTGTTTACAAACATGGCAACTTGACGGCCTTCGCCAGTTTCCCAATGGCGCGAAAAATGGATCATGTGGCTTAGAATCAATGCAATCTAATCTTCAAGGCAAGGAGAGCTTTAATATGCTTATTTGGACATTTGTGTGTGTTTTCTCTGGCTTTCTATGTTATTAAAGAAAATTTGACAAAATAGAAAGCCTAACAACGCCTAAAACGTCCGAAACAACCTTAAGGCTTGTAGAGTAACTTCTGTCACACCTAGACTGTGTCTCGTGACTACAATTCTCGTGACTACTCTCCAAGCAGAGGTTGTGGGGAATGATCGTTACCTTTTTATATATGGCCGTTTTGTGGCTGCGGAGCTTCTCTGGCTAATGGATACTGTGTGGCCAATTTGATACTGTCTTTTTGCCACCGAGAGGGATCTGCTTGGAGATTATCTCGTGACTACAATAGAGGAATTTGTACAACCACGTGCGCCTGACCTGTGGAATGTGGTCAAACACACGTACACTATGAGTACACACCTACATTCTCTTCACCCACTTCTCAATGTTACTGAGACAAAAGGAAGATGTTTATGGGATCAAGTAGACACTCCCCATGCCATTTCCACTATCTTTATCTCTATCGAATATAAATTTTCTTCTATCACCATACCTCCGGATAATCCGGCGAGGTACGTTTCTTCTATAATACCATTATATATATACATCGCAATCATTTCTGAATCATTAGATTTGAGTTTTCTTTCTTCTGTAATCCTCGCCAATGGCTACATTTTGCCACTACAATAGAGGGGCGTTCGTCTGTCTGTGAACTAGGCCAACCCAAATTCCAACGTTTCTGAACTATATTCATTCTTATAATCCTCGCATAAAGATTTTGGGACCAGAATAGTGCGTAGTTCCTGGATGGGTACGCCCTATATTTAGTACGACACTACCGTAAGACTATCTTGTCTCAATGTCACTTTTGAATAGTCACTACTTCCAAATCCTCCCCCGAGGCTAAATGTTGAGAGAACAAAAGAAGGGCGTTTCCAAGATACCCTTGTTGTCTGCAGACCGAATATTCACCCGGTTTAAATCTCAATTTCCGGTCCTACCCCGCACTCATGTCACTTCCAGGGCGTACCTGATATTGTCATCATTCTCTTCCGCTACATAAAATACCCAATACTTGAAAGGTATGACGATTGCTTCGGGTTTATCTCATGTAAAAATTGTAAAAAAATACAACGACTATTAAACATGTAAATATGGGTTCCTGGGGGTGTCATTCAAACTGAAATCTGGGACGAATATTTTAAAATGAGTCTTTAGTTGAAGAGGTTCGTAAGTATGTATAGTTTAACAGTAGAATATTCATCAATCAGTTTTGGAGATACGTGTTCGCTACCTTTCAAAACAGCCAGTTTGATGAATATTCTACTAACTGGGTTTTTTCAGCCTTGATAAAATAAACGAAGAATATAAAAAAGCACTCTGCAAGACAGTGTTTGGAGTTTGGCTGAAAACGCGAGAGATAACATGGCACTACTGACTTGTTGACAGAAAAATTATCATGAATTGTCGTAAATCTAAGGTTGGCTGCTTTATCTTTAATAACTTACTCTAGTCTCTATATAATATAAGAACCACAACAGACAAGAGAATTTCCACTGAATACACTTTACTCCCATACATAATTAGAATACACAGTGGCTGCAATTCCAAGTGGTTACTACAGACTACAAGGGCTGTTTTGTACAATTCTGTTACCCCAAAGCGACCACAGCCTCTCCAAGAATGACACAAATACATCTCATTTTCCATACACGTACAATGCTGTTATGCTGTTATTTTCTTTTAGTAGAGTATACATCTTCAAGATCTCCAATTCTATCCCAGTATTCAAATTTAGAATGCCATCTCATAGTGTAATTCTTGGCATAATATTCCAGTTTTTGTTCTAAGACATAAGACATATACAGCAGATAGTGATTTTCAATGTATGAAATGTGTGCAAAAATTGGCATTCTTGGAGAGGTGGGTTCCTATCTACTCTGTGCAATTTATTTACAAGGCAGTGGGGATGAAATGTTACACATTTAGCCCATAACCCGTCCCTCCCCACGTGTGCAATGGTACTCGCCAAATAATGCAATATATCATCCTATTTATGGATCGCACCACAGCTCACTTGGGGGTGGATAAGTTAGGAGGCTGAACGTAGGAAATAGCATGAAGACTTGACACTATGAACTAGTAAACATATGTATAACAGTACATTTTCTGCATATTTATAACCAGCGGAAATACAAACTTATGGCCTAATGAACTGCATGCACTCTTTCTGGGCGATATATATATATTTATATATAGGCTATGCTACAGACTGTTCTGTGTATGATACAACATGGTTTGGGCCGTCTCCTGCCAACTTGGATGCACAAATTCACAAGAATGGATTTCATCTGATGTACCGTCTGCTATGATTGGCTGGCAGTAAGCTGACTTGTTGGCAGTTTCTCATTGGTGGGTAAACTATGTACATGTCAGGTTAAACTATCTGGCACTGGCAGTTTGTGAGAGTGAGTAAAACCTGTGCATCCAGTTGGCAGACGACTGGCCCTCCTATCTCAACTTAAACACAAGCAAACTGTCTTCTCATAGTACAATAAATATATGTTTGTCAACATTTCAAGAGGAAACCCATGAATACAGTGCTGGTTCAATCTTCTAGAGGTCCAAAAGCAAAATATAAAAATACCAGAGCACACTCAGCCATCAACACACACCAAGAATGATCTAACGCACTTTGTACAACGCTGTGTAAGCTAACATTACTGATGTCCAACTACCGATCGTCCCATGTTGCCCAGGGCTCATGTACACAAAGGGGAATGACCTACGGAGAACCCCCAATCCAGTTCGCACAAGGAACGGTTAATAAAATAACAGAAAGTTTTTTCTTGAACGTTATGTACAAGTTGTGCACTATCAGGCACAAGGTCTTCAGGAGCACTTCTTCACATCATGTGTCGTCAAGACGACAAAGACACCAAAGCATAAATATATAGTTCTCTTCAGATTCCAACACCGCCTTGGCATTTCTGTACAAACAATTTTTTGATGTCGCTTTTTATTTTTCTGGAGTTTGTACTTTTTTTGGTAGCTTTTTTTCTCTTTTGACTTCGAAGGCGATACACAAAAATCATTTGTTCATCAATTATTTTATCTGCACTAAATTCCTCTCTCCTACATCAAAATCATTCAAAAGACAATTTTTTCTCTTTGACATTATCACTTTTACACAGTTAAGAATATTTCCATCTCAGTTGCGGGCTAGGTTTTTAAAGCATGTTGCAAAATGCTGGATATTCATAAATATCACCATGTCGAAGGCACTCTACAATACAAAATAAGAGTGCCAAATGCGCTCTGCCATTTCCTGGCTACATTTGATATTTACAGTGGCCACCCAAACTTACACCTACACTACAACCAAGGAAGACAGTGAGCATCTTCCTCAACCTTTTGCTCAAATCAGCAAAAACATAGGTACATGTCATAAATAATGGGCCTATTGCTAGAGTTACTAAAGCATCACGCACAAGACAGAACTCTTAAATTAGAAACAAAAAAACAAACACATTGTATAAGTTCTGTAGCAGCTCACATTGCCATGGCAACAGAGATGGAAAACTCCGCTAGGCCTGTCAAGAATTCAGGCCAACTATTTAGTTTAAGCACTGCAAAAAACATTTCTGCAGCATATGGAAATAATAAACATTCTACGGGGCTGCTAAGATACAGGAGGTTATGGATCTTCTACAGTTGAGAGGGCGGTTATGGGGGGGTAGGAGTGTCCTGTTGGCTGGGCGTGCTTCTGTAGACTGAACTGGTCCTCCGTCGTCTTGCGGTACACGGGGTTGTCGAAGTTCATGGACTTCATGTTCGTACTCCGGAAGAACCGCCAGGCGAAGAAGCCGATGAGGGCCACAAGGACGACCAGAGCGACTAGCACGGCGATCACGATGGCGGCGATGTGGCCAGGCTGCATGTCACCTCCGGTCCGGCCGGACGGGGTGCCGTCTGTGGGCATGGGGATAGCGGTTCGTCCTGGGGGAGGGAAAGGAAAGTGAGGTAAGTTCATAGAGTTAATTGATAAGTTTATTGCACATTCCTGCCCGAAGGCTAATTGCAAAGATAAAAGAATATTGAAATAGGGAACAAAATAACTTCAAAATCTACATAATACTACAAGGTAATTGTCTAAAACTATAGCTATGTATAAAACTATGTCTGAAGGGTTTGACTTCTCTTTTGTAAACCATCAGCTGAGGTTCAGTAAAAGTCATTTAATAACAATAGTGATTCACAGCTGCATTGTGTCTTATTAACAATTGTTGATCCTAAAAAGATGCTGGCATGACTGACGGAGAGTCTGATTTTGGTGGGAAAATCGACGACATGAAGAAGCCTACTGACCTGTGCATGTGCGGCGGTCTTCCATTAACTCACGGCCATCCTCACACAGACAGCTGAACTTGGCTGAGTGCTTGTTGATTTGAGGGGCAGGCAGACACAGGTCCGAGCAGTACTGATTGTTCTCACAATAGTCTGTCCCTAGTGTGGAAGAAAGCGACAAAAAGATTATTTCGTATGTTTGCTTTCATGTTTGTGAATGGCGATACGCAAGGATAAAATGGAAAAGCTACACCTCTCCTCCCCAGATTCTTGTTATGGTCTATTCCATATCCTACCTGGTAGTTGCCTCTTGGAATGGTACACTGTTATGTCCATGGGGGAGTACAGGTTGCTCCCAATAACTTTGTGGTCTTCTCCGGTGAACTTGTTCAGACTGTGGATGGACTCGCTCTGCCAATCCGTGAAGAACAAGGTGTCCTGAAATGGGAATCATTTTTTTAATTAAATTTTGTCCTTTCACAAAATGAAGATTAAGCAAATACTATATAAAAATAGATACAGTCAAACCTGTCCGTCCAACCAACTGTTTAGGGCAACCAACTGTTATCAACAACCACATTCAAACAGTCCCGTCCCATTTTACATAGTAAGGACCCCCTTCCAGGCAACCAACTGTAAAACGCAACCAGCGGCCACTTTCTTGTGGTCCCTACGGGGCACGGACACCCTAGTCAACAACCAGATGATGGCAAAAGGGCAAGCGATCTAGATCTTGGTGCGTCGGCACAACGCACATGTGTTTGGAACGACACGACCAGAGTATTTATGCTTCAATAAAAGAAACTGATAATTATACAAATATAGTTTTACTAATATAATTTCGAAAACAAATTGAGATTATATCATGCTGCATGCTGTGCACTGACCGACAAAAAATCTAGCGGGCCCGATTCTCACGCCGTCTGCACACACACGTACCGCGCTTGCGACAAGAATAACACATTGTAATTTGAGAAAGCATACGGTTAAAACATGGGAATATTGTGCATATCCACAAATATTTTTATAGAAAACACAATCGCTGGGATCTAAAATGTTGTCCTGGGCTTTATTTAGCGGGCGTTTTGTTTCTTGTTTTGACGGCGCGCGAAAACCACGCTGATCTCGACACACTGCCGGCGCCTAGTTCCGGCGGATTGAAGACCCAAATCGCGTCAAACACACCATAAAATCACATACACACAGATATTTCCCCCCAACTATTCTTTGAATTCGTTGTATGGTCGTGGAATTCCATGAAAAGCAGCGTTTTTTATGCTTAGAAGTGTTTTTTCCTCGGCATTTCTGTTTCAAGATGGCGGCCGCGCTTGGGTCACCCCGTGGGTCATCGGAAGGTTCCATTTCTAAAGGGTTGCTGAATACTTTTACTCAATTTGTTTTTGACACGTGCGGTCACCGCACGCAAATCAAATATGAATTAACTACATTTTATATCTATCTAGAGTTATAGTTGCTTACAAACGCCTATACAAACTTGAAATTTCGTCATGTATTTTTTGCTGCATGTTCATTGTTCCCCTTCACAGTGGATTGGTTGTTGTTGTTTTCCAAGCCAGCGCCATCTTTGTTCTCCATTTTGTGATCGCGAACGACGTTTTCCGTCAAATTTCTTAGCCCAAAATGACCTTTTAGGAATTTTTGAAGTCACATTAAGTTGACTGCTGTAATGTTGCGCCAGTATTGAGTAGTCTGCAGAAGTTGCCGACACAGAACCCGTAATGGAGGCAAGAAAATATCAACTTGGCGTCGGTATGTCCTTGGCCCAAACAAATTTATGGAGGACTTTACAATGGAGGACTTCTTCAGCAGAAAGGGACAAAGGCTCAAAGGCAGAACGTTTCACTTTCTTATTTTCGTTGCATTATATTTAGGGACTTGTAAAATTAAATTTCGAACCCAGTTTCGTAATAGAACAGTTGTTGTATCAATTGATGAAAACATAATCGAACAGTACTTAGTACTACTAATAGTAGTGACTAGAGATAGCCAAGTACACATGATGTATTTTGTCATACTTCTTGCCGCTATTTTCCACTTTTTTGCCTCAAATTCTACGATATGAAGTATAATTTGCATCAGTCACATGATTGTAAATTTAGAAGACTGAACTGAGAAATTGTGTAATAACTTTGACTTCAAAGTCATATGTACATAATCTATCTACATGTACAATGTTATACTTGCCTAGCAGTAAACAAAACTAAAGTTTAACACAACAGCAATAATAGTAATACAAGTTAAAAAAAATAGATATCGTCATGGTTACATCTGAGATCATGGACTGACCTCTGCAATGGTGTCATCAATAATTTTCCCAGCACCAGGGATGTTGGTCACCAAATCTCGGAGTCGAACCAGTGGTGACGATACTTCCGAAAGATCATTGTTCATTTCATTGACCTGATCAAATACAAGAAAAAAAATAGTATTAGTACAATGTAGTCAACCCTTTACTCAAAACTACTAGTAAACCCTTTTTGTTTGTGTTAATTGTAACCATATAAGATTGACATTACAATTGGTGTTCTATTTCAATTCATTTGTTTTCTCTTTTTCAATTCATTTGTTTTTTACACAGAGTGGTTGCTGTAAGTATAAATAGTACAGTAGTATAAATCGAACAACACAAATTGATTTTTACATAGTGTCAGTCCACCCAACTTGGTCAATTGTTCTGAGGTTAGGCCATTGTTGTAGATTGCTAACCTTTGGTCAGTGTGACTACATATTGGGACATCTGTACACATCACATGCCTCTTTTACAAACATTCAGACACAATATCTAGTATGTACTATGGGCGATAATCAACTGTTTATCCCATCAATATTTAATACTACTGGTTAAAGGAAAACAGTGCAATGGCTAAATGAGTATTATAGTGTTTGTCTTATTTATTACCCAGTACATTTGATGGGTGGTACATACTGCTTTCTCTGCTTGGCACTTTGGAAAAGATGTGGGAAAGAGTATGAGAGTTAAACAAACACCAGTGGACTGGTGTAGTGAAGACACAACTGTGTGGCCCAAGGGCTATAATGGAAACAAGATGGGCACTACCCAGTATGCACCATCTGCTGCAGAACAGACTTTTAATAGTCAAATTTAATGTGATTGAACTTTTAGGTCCTGACCTGGGTTTCCACCCCCATGATGGTCTGGTTGACATTTTCTGCAGCAGTAGCAAAGTCCTGGACTCCCTGGTCTGCCTCCACGTTGCCATAGATACCGATGGCCACACCCGTCCTGAAATGGCACCAGTCCTGTTATAAGTGTCATTTTAAAAACATCTGGTACATTATTTTCTCAGCAATTATCCACAATAATATATAAACAAACATACAATCAAAAGATATTAAAAAAGACTTTATCCAAATATAACATTATAAATATATAATATATTTAAGTTACAAAATCATTACCTATTACATCAATTTCATAATTCTAGTAGTACTTTATACTAGTACTTGATTTGATAATGCATAACATTGTAATATGAGTAACAGGTCTTAGTATGCTTGTGCCTTATGACAGTTTGTGGACAACGCATAAAATTTAGAATTTCTACAATTGTAAGATTTCAAATTAACACAGAAACTCATAAAAACGTTTCTGTTACATGTACCTTAATTTCATATCTCTAATTGTCTATTTTCTAGTATGCATTATTTCCATAATGTTATATACGGCTGTTTGTAGTGAATTTGAAATAACATACAATGCATCATTATGAAATTTAATTTTGAAAAAATTAAGACAGCTACTCACAGGGCAATAAGTGACAGGATCCCGATAGTCCACCTGAGACAGTATGCCGGGTGTTTCCGTGCCGCGCCGTGTGAACAGCATCTCGCACAGAAGTACACCAGGAAGAAAAACAACGTCAGCGTCAACCAGGCCACGGGAACAGCCGCCCAGAACCCTAGGGACTGTGGAGAGAGCAACAGTTTACCTTCTAGTGGGGATCCGGTCTTTTATCAGGTGTATCATATGGTACAAATTTTCCAGCTTCGATTTTTGTTATCGAGTAAGTTACATAATCTACACGCGCCGTTACAAGTGAAGATATACCGAGAAAAACAACAGAGAAAAGGTAAAACATGGATCGAAAATGTCTAACATTAAAAGGATGG